TTCCAGATGGGATATTTCGCTCTGGAGGCGTGACTGTCTGCAGTTCACACAATGACCCCTGGAAACCTGCATCACTGAGCGAGCCTCTGTTCAATAGTGAGTCTCTGTGAGCACCAGCTCTGTGCTCTGGAGTCTCTGTGCTTGGAAGCTGGGTCAGAGGCTTCACTGCTGCCGCCCGTTCTTGCTACTCAATCTTCGGGGACTTGCTCAATGGACGCTTGGCCCTCAGTGTCCAAAGTTTTGCATGCACACGCACAAACATACACATGCGTGCACCTACATAGACACACATGCATGCATGCATATACACCCCAGGTCAGACACGAGGACTCTGCCCGCCCCCCTGTCCTCTGCCACATCCCCACTTCCCAGGACCAGCCCCTTCCCACCCCACCCAGCCCCTGGCCTCTCCAGCCGTGACACCACTGCCAAGTCCCCGGGGGACGCTTTTCCTCACAGCCTCTCTCCATCCCCCGCTGAATTGCCTGGGTCACGTCCAGACCCAGTTCTTAATTTCTGACGGGCTCAGCCGGAGTCTCGTCTCTTCCTCGTCCTCGTGGTGCTCTCCCGTGCAGAGTCCTGGCTGCCCTCCTGTGTCGAGAGAGAACCCGTGGCCACCCGTGGCCGCCCGTGGGCCCGCAGCCATGCCCTCTGCAGATTCCCGTGGGCGCTCTCCACTGCTCCCACATGGTTCTGTCCGGCGCGCTGGCGTGTCCAGTGTCCCGCTCCACTTCCGTTCCCTTCGGGAAGGCGCTCAGTGTCCTGGCACCGGCTCCTCTCGCTGGCCCTGTCCTCCCGGCACCCGGCACGGCAGAGCAGGCACCCTAGACGGAAGCAAAATCACCCCATTTCCTCCAATTTGGGTGAAGGGGTCCAAAGAGCGCGTATGCCCAACCAGTCCCGTCCTGTTCGTTCCTGTCCCCCTGGACTTCCACACAAAGGGGGGGCCCAGCCGGTCACCAAGGTGGGGCTTCCGGGTGGATGGTCCTGGGGCCAGGGGCCTCTCCGGAGATGGACAGAGGAGGGCACTCAGGAGGAGGCGGCTCAGAACGGGGTCAGTGGGGGCGCGGCCCTTCTCTCGGCCCTCCTCATCACCAACAGCCCGGGATTCTTGCTGACTTCAGGGTCTGGGTGTTTTGGGGGATTTTATTTTATCCTCTGGAGCTTTTTGAGAACCGGCAGGGGGGGACTGGGGAGGAAGTGGACAGGGGAAAAGTGAGCTCCCTCCAAGGCGGCTCTGCCCCCCTGTCCCCAGGGGGGGTGCCACAGGGCCACCCTCCCCCCTCTCCAGGCCTCAGTTTCTGCTGCTTGGGATGAAGGGGTTGGGGGGGACGCTGGGGACCCTGGCGGAGGCAAGGTCACATGCACACATGCACGTGACCGGGGACGGCATCGGCGGGACTGGAACTCCAAATGCCTCAAGTTCTGTCACGCACACACTGGTGAAACGTGGTGGCTTCAGTTCGGAAACTAACGGTGTGTTTCTCTATTTGAAAATAAGAAGGATTGGAGCGAGAGGGCAGGAGGTTTTGTTTCGGAAAACACTTGGCTCGTGGAGGCGGTTCCCATGAAGAGCCGAGACGGGGGCGCTGTGAGATCTGACAACCTTGCTGCCTTGTGTGGAGGCCCCGTCTCGGCTCCCGCTCTCTCTCTCTCTTTCTCTCTCTCTCTCTCTCTCTCTCTCTGGCATTGACTTCAGGGTGCCACTGGGAAACACACCCCAAGCCCCCCGTTCCCGGTCAGCCTCGGGGATTCCTTCTGGAAGTCACTTCCGTGGAAAGTGCAGTACACAGAACTGCCTTGCTGGGTCAGACTGGGGCGCAGAGGGCGGAGATGGTTCCGGGGTGGCCTTGCATCGCAGCCCACTCAGGTCCAGTCCCCGGCACCGTATTTGTTCCCCCAAACACCCCCAGGGGGAGCCCGTGAGCACCGAGCCAGGAACTGCCCCTGAGCACCACGGGGGGTGCTCCCCTGCAATGATTTAGAAACAGGGACTAGCGAGTGATGGTGCGGAAATCAGCGATCCAGTGACAGTTGGCCCTGCCCTCCCCGGCGGGTGCCCCCTTGGTGGCCCCTGGAGCCGTTGACTGGATTGTTCCTTTTTGCCGAGGGAAGAGACCCCACCTGGGAGCAGGCGGAGACCCCTGCACGTCTCCTTCCAACGCTGGCTGGAACAGGCTGGTTCTCACTCTCCCAGGAAAGGCGCCAGTGTCTTGGGAAAGGCCCTTATTCTAACATGACAGACGCACCATAGAGCTTAGGTTCCTTTGGATAGGGTTGGCCTTGGGGCCACACCCAGTGATGCCCAGGACTCTGCTCCCAGGGACCCTCCTGGTGGGCTCAGGGTGCCAGAGAGGAGCGGTGAGCTGCGTCACGTGACTTGACACAGTGCGATTTCTTTGCTTCTGCTCACGTGATCGTTCAGACTCACTGTCAGCCCAGTCAAAGGCAAACCTGGAAAATGCCCCAGAACAGAGTTATGGACTGTTGGCTTCATGGAGGCAGGGGTGGGGGGGACAGAAGGGAGAGTCCTAATTTGCTCCTCTTAGAAGCAAAATGGGCCTGGAGCAATAGCACAGTGGTAGGGCGTTTGCCTTGCATATGGCTGGCCCAGCTGATCTGGGTTTGATTCCTCCGCCTCTCTCGGAGAGCCCGGCAAGCTACCGAGAGTATCTCGCCCGCACGGCAAAGCCTGGCAAGCTCCCCATGACGAACTCGATATGCCAAACACAGTAACAATTGTCACAATGGAGATGTTACTGGGCCCGCTCGAGCAAATCGATGAACAACGGGAGGACAGTGACAGAAGCGAAATAATTTCATGGGCTTTTGTGGGCGGAGTGTTGGGGATGGACAGAGCAGAGTTGTAAGGAGATGAGAACAGAGGTCAGTGAGTCCCCTGAGGTCAGAGGTGCCCTCTTCAGGGAAGTGTGAATTGGGTCCAAGGCTGGACACGCTTGACTTGACGGAGTAAAAGGCGGTGGAGGTGGTGAAGAACAGGGTGCATCCTGGCAGAAGAGGGAGACCGGTGCTCCCCTGGGGACGGTGGAATTGAAATGGGGAGGTCTGGAGAGGCGGGGAGGGCGGTCAGCAGGCCTGAGTAGGCAACTGGGGCTGGTGGGGAGCCCGGGCAGATGTCCACCACACCCAGAGGGACGAGGGCAGAACCGCCGTGACATTCTCTCCTGGATGATGAGAAGCCAGAGGCGAAGGGAGGAACTGTTGGCCAGACTTCGGTGTCAGGGCTGGTGGCGGGTGAAGGGTAGGGGATGAGTCTGTCACCGGTGGGTTTTCTCATGGGGATAGAGAGACAGGAAGTGAATTGATTGGTCATTAAGTAAGGAGAGGGGGAGAGAGAGAGAGAGAGAGAGAGAGAGAGAGAGAGAGAGAGAGAAGTCTTTGTGTTGTGGTGATTGTTACAGCCTTAGTTGTAGTTGTCTTAGTCATAGTAGTGGTAGTGTGCCGTAACGGGACTTAAAACTGTCACGGTCATAGAAGCAGAAGTGGCATTGAGAGTGGTGGGGGTGCTTACAGTACTAGTGGTGGCAGCGGGGGATGGTTGTAAGGCAAAAAAAAGGTAAAGGTAAACGCCCTCCCGTTGATCGTCGATTTGCTCGAGCGGGCCCAGTAACGTCTCCATTGGAGACTTTGTTGTTACTGTGTCTGGCATATCGAATACTCTCGGTAGCTTGCCGGGCTCTCCGAGAGGGGCGGAGGAATCGAACTCGGGTCGGCCATGTTGGCCGCGTGTAAGGCGAACACCCTACCCACTGTGCTATCGCTCCAGCCCTATGTACTAAATGCATAATACCTTTTATTCATAGTGAATTATGTATAGTTTTTTTACTGTAGCCCTGTAGCACTGTCCTCACGTTGTTCATCGATTTGCTCGAGCGGGCATCAGTAACGTCTCCATTGTGAAACTTGTTGCTACTGCATTTGGCATATCGAATACGTCACGGGGAGCTTGCCAGGCTTTCCTGTGAGGGCGAAATACTCTCAGTAGCTTGCCGGGCTCTCCGAGAGGGACAGAAGAATTGAATCCGGCTCAGCCGTGTCGGCGGCTTGCAAGGCGAATGCCCTACCGCTGTGCTATCACTCCAGCCCAGGGGGATGGTTGTAGTACTAGTAATTACAATAGCAGTTGTTGATATGTGTTGGACGTTCCCTGGGTGACATGCCAAGCAATGTTCTACGAACCGTATGCACGTCATTTGGTTTATCGTGACAGTGATTCTTGGAGTACGCGATGCTGTTGTCGATTTCATTTGTACTGGCGTTGTTATTCCTCTTTCTTCCCACCTGTCCTCCTCTCCCATCGTCCTCCTTCGCCCCCCACATTTCCCCTTCATGGAAATGCTCTCGAGACTCATCCAGATTATCTGAACCCTGGAGGAACGTGGCTCAGACAAGCCCCACCTCTGCCTGGGGAACTTCCGGCATTTGCCTCCCTCGGAGAAGGTCGCCCGCCCCCAGTGAATCCCCCTAGTCCCCCTTTCACAGATTTACCCCGTAGGGACCAACCCCCTCCCGCCAAGGATGAAAGAGTTGAAAACTTATAGGAAATATTGACCATGCTCATTGTCAATATTGTCCCCGTTTCCATTCGAACACATTTCCTGAGAGAGCGCGCGTTTTCTCCTGGAACCCAACGCTGCGTGTCCATCAAGCTGCTTGGTTCGGTGTGGGGTCCACTCGAGGTGGTGCTCAGGGCTGACTCCAGGCTCTGTGCTCAGGGATCTCCCCTGGCGGGGCTCAGGCGGACCCTGTACGATGCTGAGGACAGAATCTGGCTCAGCTGTGTGCCAGGCAAGTGCCCCGCCCACGGTCCCATCTCTCCAGCCCCACGTTTTCCTTCTCTCCACACAAAACGTCCTTTGGGCGCATTCTTTGTCTATGCGGTCACCTTCTCCTCCTCCTCAGGACACGCGCAGTACCCTCTTAGCCGTCGGACTCTCTGTGGGTCTGTCCTGCTCTGATGAGAAATGTCTCTTTTGCAGATATTGATGAATGTGTAAACAACACTATTTGTGACAGGCACGGCTTTTGTGACAATACAGCCGGCTCCTTCCGCTGCCTCTGTTACCAAGGCTTTCAGGCCCCTCCGGATGGGCAGGGGTGTGTGGGTGAGTGCTTCCCCCCTGCCGAGCCGGCCACCCAGAGGTCACCCTGAGCATGGCCAGATGTTCCTTGTCCCTGGCCTTGGCTGGGCCGCCGGGGGTGACCCGGCTCTCCCGTGGCAAGGGATGTTCCACAGCGGGCCACGGCACCCCGAGGCATTCCAGCGCGGTTTGCGAAGCACAGCTGCTTAAAGCCTTAGCGCAAGGCGGCTGGAGTCCCTCCTGCACAGGAAACGGTCTGGCGTGTGGCGAAGCGTTCTGTCTGCACCGCACACGGCCCTGGCAGGGCGCAGCCGGAGTGTGGGCGGATGCCCCCCTCCAACCCAGGACGCCGGCGGGCACTGCTCCGGCCAGTCCTGCTCCGCAGGGACCCAATGACCCACTGTGGCCCCTCAGCCGGCCCCAGGATATGGCCCAGTCACAGGGAAAAGCTTTTCTTTCTTGTTTTCCACCCACCTGAGAGGGTGCGAACTCAGATTCCTCCTGGAAACACATTTGCCCCCTCCTGCTCCCGGGCAGTTCAGTGAGATGGAGGAGAACGGACCGGGCTGGACACCAGACTCCTCCAGGAGGCCGGGTCACTCTGTCGCCTCCAGACAGCTGGTGCTGGAGTGGACAAGACAGGAAGGGGCTCGTTTGGAAATTTCCAAGCAACGGTTCAGTCCCAACCCACCACCCCAGGAAGGAAAACGCCCCACGGGGCCACGAATAACAGCGACCTGTGCCCACACGGTAGCCAAGACCTTCCTCGGGGTCGCTCCCCGCCCCGGCCTGAGTCTCTCTCAGCGGCACAGGAAGGCCTGAAGGAGGGTCACGGAGCCACAGGCTGCTTCTGGGGGCAAGGAGGTGCCGGATGCGGGTCCCCCCTTCCCTTCTCCGCCTCGCCCTGGCCCCCCTCACAGCCCAGCACTGCATCACGGCTTGTGGTTGCTTGCCGCAGGACTGTGCCGCTGTGTGGCTCTTGTCACCCTCCCCCATGTCGACACCCTTTCCTTCCCTTCCTCCGCTTGTCTTCACGGTGGCCCCAGGCAGGTGCCAGCTCAGCCAGCCACGGCTCCACCTGGCTCCCTGGCTCGCTCACAGGTGACGGGGCCCTTCCGCCTGCTTCCCAAGCAGAAATCTCTGGTCGTGCCTGCAGCTGTTGGGGATGGTTTCAGGGTGTGTGCGCACTCTCTCTGAGGCAGGAACGTCATGGGGGTTCCAACTCTTCCTCCCTCCCTCCCTCTCTCTCTCTCTTAGGCACACACACACACACACACACACACACACAATGGGAAGACAAAATTTCTAACAGCTAGTTTTGTGGTAGACATTCAAATTCGTGTACACACCCATAAAATCCTGACGTTTGCTTCATATACACACACACAGATACACAGACACAGGCATACAGACACACACACACACACACACACACACACACTCTTAATGGAAAGGACAAATTTCAAGCAGCAGGTTTTGAAGCAGACAATTCAAACTCATGTATACACACACATAAATCCTGAAGTTTGCTTCAAACACACACACACAGACACAAACACACACACACACACACACACACACTCAATGGAAAGACCAAATTTCAAGCAGCTAGTTTTGAAGTAGACAATTCAAACTCATGTATACACACACATAAAATCCTGAAGTTTGCTTCAAACACACACGCACAGATACACAGACACACACACACAGACACACACACACACACTCAGTGGAAAGACCAAATTTCAAGTAGCTAGCTTTGAGGTAGACAATTCAGACTCATGTATACACACCCATAAAATCCTGACGCTTGCTTTATACACACACGCAAAGATACACACACACACACACACTCAATGGAAAGGACAAATTTCAAGCAGCAAGTTTTGAAGTAGACAAATCAAACTCGTGCATACACACACATAAAATCCTGCAGTTCGTTTCACACACACACACGCGTGCGCGCAATCCCGAAGCTTAGTTCCCACGCGCGTGGCCTCATGTTTGCTGTGTTGCGGGACTTGTCCACTCCCGAGCTCTGAGTTCCGGCCAGTGCCCACACCGTGCCCCTCAGGGCCGCCTGTTGAGCTGGCTGGGCACACGGCAGCCACAAACACCGCCGGCCACGCCACGCTGCCCGGCAGCCCTCGAGGTTGCAGGGCTTTGCTCTGAGCCGTCACCGCGTCACCAGGGTGCTGCCCTGGGTCTCTCGCTTCTCTCGCTCTGAGTATTAACGAGCACCATCCCGCGTGCTGGCCGCCCTTACTGTCCTCTGGGCTCTGCCGGGTGAGTGGGCGCCGAGAGCTGCCTCTGCCGCCCGGGCTCTTCCCCCGGACCCTCACACCGGCTCATGCTCACCGGCTCGGCCCCGGTGGGGCAGGGCTGCAGCCGCACCTTAACCCACCCGCCGCGCCTCACCGCCTGCTTCCCGCGTTCCGTCTCCTCGGTGGCTTGTTCGTGGCCTCTGACTCTGGCTCCTCCCCGGCCACCGGCAAGCTCGCGAAGGCAGGAGGGGACCTGTGGGGCTCAGCACCCTCTCCCCGGCCTGGCCGTCCAATGGATATTGACGGAAGGAGTTCGGTGTGGAAAGAGAGACGCCACCGACCAGGCAAGGAGCCGAGCGCGGAAGGTGTGAGTTCCCGCTGACCCGGGTCGGAACTCGGTTGAGACAAACGGGCATTCGTGTTTCCAGCCGACCTTCCTGGTGGAAACAAGGCCAGTCCTCTGCTTCCCTGGCAAGTGTCAGCCTCTTTTCATAAGCAAGACCCAGCTCGGTGGGTTTCTGTCTGTCTAAATCCCGAGTGAAACATAAAACATTGGGGTACTCATCCAAAATAGTCAAAATTAATTTTTTTTCCAATGAACCGGGGCGATCAGGTGAGATGGGGCAACCCCCGCCCACTCCCAGCTGAGTGGGCTGCTCACACTTTCAGCTCACCTCTACACCCCCTGGTGTGTGCAGGAAGGCGGGATTGCACACGTGCATGAACACCTGGAGGGCAGGAGTGAGGCCCAGCGTGCCCTGGGGAGCTGGACCCCCTGGTCCCGCCCAGCAGGCATGGGGGGGACCACCTGTCACGAAGACAGACCTCTGGCCGAGTGCCGGCTGAAGCACAGCCCCTGAACACGGAGTCTCATGAGGGTCCACACGCAGGAGAGCCCGGCGTGTGGCAGTCTCAGGACCGTCTGGCGAGAGCTCTGAGCCCCCGGCCACCTTAGGGTCCTCCCACCAGCTCCAGCATCTGCCTGACCAGAATTCCGGGGTCAGCTGCTGGGCATTTGCACAGCTAGAAAACTCTTCAAACATTTGCCTTTTTTTTTCTTTTAGAATAGATGTTGGGATTCCGAGGATTTTTCAGATCTGAATATTGGGTTCCTTGAGATTTGTAGGATGGTGACAGCCAGAATGACAAAACGCACTTGTCAAGTGCACTTGCATTTGACCTGGGAGGCCGATGTCCCACTCCAGGGCTTCCGCAGACACGAGGGGGACCCTCTGTGGTCACGGGGTCGGCGGGGGGGGGCCCTTCATCAAAGCGCAGCCTGGCCTGCAGCACCCAACAGAGGGAACAGGCCCCCGGGACAGCAAGCCTCGCCCTCCTGGTCACAGGCAGAGCCTCTGGCACCCACTGATCCCCGCGTCCTCTTCTAGACGTGAACGAGTGTGAGCTGCTGAGCGGCGTGTGTGGCGAGGCGGCCTGCGAGAACGTGGAGGGCTCCTTCCTGTGCGTGTGTCCCCACGAACATCAGGAGTACAGCCCCATGACCGGCCAGTGCCGCCCGCCCGTGCCGGAAGGTAAGTCTCGCCTGTGGGGTCCCGCGGGGGTCCAGGAGAACAGATACTCGCTGGCACGCCCTCGCCTCTGGAAGCTTCCAGGCGGGGAAGTGGAGTCAGGAGATGGGAGGTGCCGACGAGAGTGGGACGGCATGGCGCACACACACACACACACACACACACACACACACACACACACAGATTGGGTTGGGGGGTTTCAGGAGGAGCATGTTGGCTGGGGTTGGCCCACATCCCAGGCTCTGGACCAGCACAGCTCTGTGCTCGCTCCATCCTTTGCGGGTCCTCAGAGAACCATCTCTTGCCACGGCCCATGGTGAAAATGCCCGTCATGAGCACCGCCAGGGGGAAAGCCCCCGTGTCTGGGCCAAGCCATGGAACATCCGACTCCTGTCGAGGTTATTCTTGCTGCTGTGAGATACCTCGCTCTGAACAATGGAACATGCTTGTTCAGTGTGGAATAACTAGCCCCAAAACTGATGTGGGATAAAACACACACACACACACACACACACACACACACACACACACGCACACACACACCCCTTTCCTTAGCATTCATTATCAAAGGGTGCTGGTGCTGGTGGGACACTGTCCCCCTTGGAGGAGAGGGAGAGGGGCACCGGTCCTTTCAGTGACCCCAGAACTCAAGAGAACATGCTGGCCATCATAACTCCACCCTCCAGACCAGAACAAACCCAAACCCAAACCCAAGAAATCTGGGTGTCCAGGGGTAGGATGGCAAAGTGATCATTCTGTTTCTTTCTTGCTTTGGGTTCTGGTAGCGCAGAAATCTTGCCGTGGTGGTTGGACAGAAATGATTGACTTGGACTGTTGTCCAGTCCCCAGATGAGCTGTGGGCAGACAGTGGCCAGAACAATGATAAGTTCCAACGCAAAGCTGGAGAGATCTAGGAGAGTGGGCAACACACTTCCCTTGCATGTGTTCGACCCAGGTTCGATCCCCGGCTTCCCTTAGGGTCCCCCAAGCACCACCAGGAGAGATTCCCGAGTGCAAAGTCAGGAGTAAGCACAGCCAGGGGTGGCCCCCAGACAGAAAAGAACAGAAGAGAAAAGAATGTTAAGTTCAAAAGTGAGGTGACTGAGCACAGCCAGGAGGAAGGGAACATAGAGGAAGATTCCCATTGGACTTAAGAGCAGGTTGAGGACTTTCTGGCCTTTCCGAACCTCACTTAATGCTTCAGATGGAAAGACGAGGGTTTGAGGACACTGTGAACTTTCCACGGCACCAGCCTGGGGACATCATAAACTGCCTCTGAGTCTGGGTTTTCCCCCTAAAATACATTGACATATTGTGCATGAGAACAGAAATATGCCCGTCTCTGAGAGTTTTGTGGGTGTTAAAGGAAGTCATAGATGCTAAGGCACCCACGAGTAGCCCAATACCGTGGGAAGTGGGAAGTTGTACGCCAGGCACATCTGAGGAATCTATTCCTCATCCTGAATGACTTTCTCTGAAGTGGTGGGGGTGAGGGGAGGGCCCCAATCTACAAATCTTCTAGCTAAAATGTTTCAGAAGCGTCAAGAAATGAATTCTTTCTTCTCGCTTCACGCATGGTCCATGTCTAGGATGCTGAAGTTGCCTCCTTTCGTGCTTTAGCCATTAGTAATGAGATAATAATTTACTGAGGTGGAGGAACCGTAAATGGACCATTTTTTTTTTTAGAACTTGGCTAGACCATAGCTGCTCCACACCTCTCCACACAAGCCCGGGTTCTCAGTTCTTATCCTGACAGTTTTCTGTGCTCGACACCTGTTTAGCCGTTTCCATCTCCCCTAGTCTTGCTCCGTCACTCGATGACTTTCTTTCTAGAACATTCTTCAGAGTTCCCTAGGACTCGCCTGTTTTTTTCAAAGAACATGAATTTGAAGACCCGGCCTCAGGACAACTGTTCTGTCTGTGAAGACTTAACCTTCCCTCTTCTGTCTAACCTTCAAATATCTGGGTTCCTTGCATGTTTTCCCCAGATGACGGGCTCTATGAAATACTCTTCATTCATGATTGTTTTTTTCATCCTTCTCTCTATAATCTGACTAGACCAGTAACTGGTGAAACTGTCGTACCCAGGTTTTCGGGTCATGATATGAACGACACCGGGAGACAGTAATGCACTTGCAAAGAAGTTTTATTCCAGATAACTGTGGTCAGCTATCTCACCCACAAAGTGGTCTCTTGATAGTGACCCCGACCCCCCAGTGCAAGCAGTTTATAGAGGTTCCAAGGTTGAGCAAGCGCTGTGATAGCAGTGGTCAAGCAAGAGTCGTCAACATTTGATAACAGTTAGTCAGCTTCTGGTTGTTCCAAAAAATGAACATAGTAACAGCCAGTTTGTGTTTGTTCCCAAAAGTGGACATAGTGACCCCTCATGACCAGTCAGATGTTCTAGCAGTTCCTTACCAGAAATTACAAGTTCCGTTTCTGGGAAACAGAAACTTTGGCCTAGTCAAAACTTAATGTCAGCTGCGGCCTGTCATGGCTGCAGTCCTGGCTTTCAGTAACTAACAGAACTTAGCGGTAGGGCATTTGCCTTGCGTGCAGCTGGCCCGGCTGAGCCAGGTTCGATTCCTCCGCCCCTCTCGGAGAGCCCAGCAAGCTATCTCCCCTGCACCACAAAGCCTGGCAAGCTCATCGTGACGTATTTGATATGCCAAACATAGTAACAACAAGTCTCATGATGGAGACTTTACTGGGCTCCCTCGAGCAAATCGATGAACAACAGGAAGACCATGACCATGATACAGCATTAGAGAGTCATCCTGCTTCATTCTTTAGGGCTGGAGCGATAGCACAGCGGTAGGGTGTTTGCCTTGCACGTAGCCAACATGACCAACTCGAGTTCGATTCCTCTGCCCCTCTCGGAGAGCCCGGCAAGCTACCGAGAGTATCTCGCCTGCACGGCAGAGCCTGGCAAGCTCCCGTGACGTATTCGATATGCCAAACACAGTAACAACAAAGTCTCCAATGGAGACGTTACTGGGCCCGCTCGAGCAAATCGACGAACAACGGGAGGGCCTTTACCTTCACCTTATTTCTGTAGTTCAGGAAGACTTGCCTTTCCCCGCGCTTCCCTGTGGATGGCCGACCCACCTTAATCTGTAGGAGAACCAACACAGGGCAGCTCTGTGGCTTGTCCTGCATGAACCGGATCTGTTGTGTGTTTTCTTGACCAGGACTTCTAAAATTTACCACTCTAGGCCCCTTTACACCTGAGAAGTGTTTATACAACCCCAGGCCTATGGGTATAGAATGTATATACAAATCGAACATTTACTGCTAATCAATCATTAAAAATTGTTCCTGGAAAATGAACTTTGGGGCCTGGAGAGATAGCACACAGTGGGTAGGTCACTTGCCTTGCATGCGGCCGATTCACATTTCATCCCCCACACGATCTATGCTCCCCCCATCTGCCAGGAGTGACCCCTGGGCACAGGACCAGGAATATTGATGAGCACAGCTGGGTGTGGCCCAAAAAACATAAGCATACATTAAAAAATAAAAATAGAAGTAAAGAAAATTGTGTGTGTGTGTGTGTTTGTGTGTGTTTGTGTGTGTGTGTGGCAGAGCCTGGCAAGCTCCCCGTGGCATATCTGATATGCCAAAATCAGTGACTATAACGGGTCTCATTCCCCTGACCCTGAAAGAGCTTCTAATATGGCAGCATTGGGAAAGACAAGTCAGGAGAGGCTGCTAAAATCTCAGGGCTGGGATGAATAGAGACGTTACTGGCGCCCGCTCGAGTAAATCAATGAACAATGAGATGACAGTGATACAGAGATTGTGTGTGTGTGTGTGTGTGTGTTGGGTCATACCCAGTGATGCCCAGGGCTTGCCCGTCACTCTGTACTCAGTGGTCACTCCTGATGGGGCTCAGGGGACCATTTGGGATGGGGATTAACCCTGGGTCAGCTGTGTGCAAGGCAAACACCCTGCCTGCTGGACTGTTGTTCCCGCCCCAAGAAGAAAACTAATCATAAAGCTGCTTTGCAACCTTCCCCTGCAGTGCTGCCCCCACACCCATGGGGGTCCCAAGGCACAGTGAGTGGGGTCGATTCCACCCACCTCAAAGTGAGTGAGCATTTAAAGACCTTTGCAGGGTAAACAAGTGCAAAATCCCTCCAGATGGACTTTTCCAGTGTCCGTTGGTTGTGAAACTTGAGTCCCCTCTTCCTCCCTCCGCCCCCACCCCTGCACTATGTTAGGCAGTGATGCTCCCCAGGGCCACATAATCAGGGGACTGAGTCAGAGACCCCACACCTGGGTGTGAGTCAGAGATCCAAACCGTGGTCCTGCCCGGTCCATGCTTCGCCGTGTGATCCAGGGGATCAAACTCACAGCCTCGTGCTTGCAAGACAGATATTTTAGTCAGGATTTTCCCTTTCCTAGCCCAGTCAGTGACAGAGATAGGGGTGGGGCATCCTGAGAGCTCGGGGCCTCTGCTCGTGTTGGGCTGCACACATCCACTTAAGCCACGTCAATAGTTTAGTTGGCCCCACGGTGATTCACTCACGGTCACGGTCCTCCTGTTGTTCATTGATTTGCTCGAGCAGGCCCAGTAACGTCTCCATCGTGAGACTTGTTTGGCATATTGAATACCTCGCGGGTAGCTTGCCTAATAAAAAGAAAAAAAATGGTTTAGTTGGGTTTTCCCCCCACACATGATTTGATGGCAGTCTTTGTGCTGAATCCACAGTAGTCAGTTCTCCAAAGCTGTCACCTGCTCTGGAACAACTCTATTCCTTTCCTGTCCCGTTGTTTTACCTATTCGTGTTATCACGACTGTCAGCCCGCTGCACTGGAGAATTGGCCTCCTGAGTCCTCAGGAGACCGGGAGTGTGGCCCAGACCTTCCCTGGGTCCAGCAGGAGGCCCCTTAAGGACACTGTCCCCCTCCAGACACCCTGCTTGTCCCGTGACAGGACCCACTTGCACTAGCGTTACCTCTGATTTGGGGCTTCTCTTAAGGATGTCAAAGCAAGTTCA